TGTCAACTCTGAGGCCTTGCCTATTGTGGGAGTTTCCAAAAGAGTCCCCTTTAAAATAGGGGATTGGACAGGAGAGCTAGATCTTGTCGTAGCTCGCATGGACGACTTTGACGTGGTACTTGGGATGGAGTTCCTCCAAGAACACAAAGTTATCCCAATGCCGCTGGCAAAGTGCTTAGTGATCACTGACCGCAACCCCACAGTAATACCTGCAAGCATCAAGCAACCAGGTAATCTTCGAATGATCTCGGCCATACAATTGAAAAAGGGACTCGCACGAGAGAAACCTACATTTATGGCCATACCATTGATGGAAGTAACAACCACCGAAGAAACTGTCCCAAATGAAATCAATGAGGTACTAAACGACTATGCCGACATAATGCCAGAGAGCTTACCCCAAACATTACCACTTCGTCGAGGCATTGATCACGAAATCGAACTCATCCCCGGAGTTAAACCGCCAGCGAAGAACGCATACCGGATGGCTCCGCCCGAGCTAGCCGAATTAAGGAAAAAACTGGATGAGTTGCTGAAGGCGGGATTCATCCGCCCGGCAAAGGCACCCTATGGAGCCCCCGTACTGTTCCAGAAGAAGAAGGATGGGACGTTGCGTGTGTGTATAGACTATAGAGCCTTAAACAAGGTGACGGTACGCAACAAATATCCACTGCCGATAATATCNTGATGCTCGATATCAGGGGCACATCAGAGAAGGACAAGGTGTTCTTCTTTATAAATGGGTTGCAACCGTGGGCCAAGACAAAGCTACACGAGAACAAGGTCCAAACCCTAGCCGCCGCAATGGCCTGTGCCGAGAGACTCCTAGACTATGGGAACGAAGCGGGATCCCAAAGGAGAATAACACCAGCCCCAAACACTGGTGGCAAGCCATACAAACCACCAAGTTATCGAAATGGAAGCCCCAACAGGCCGAACGGAGGTAACGACAGACCAAGCGGATGGACGGATAGACCNTGGTGTTCGACAAGCTGCGACAAAACCAACTGTATGTCAAGAAAGAGAAATGTGCATTCGCACAAACATGCATCAACTTCCTTGGACATGTCGTCAGATGTGGACAGATTAGTATGGATAGCGACAAGGTAAAAGCTATCCAAGAATGGAAGGTTCCTACTTCCGTATCCGATTTGCGGTCCTTCTTAGGATTAGCCAACTACTATAGGCGGTTCGTCGAAGGGTTTTCACGACGAGCCGCCCCATTGACAGAGCTGTTGAAGAAAGACCACACTTGGTCGTGGTCAGATGATTGTCAAATGGCCTTTGAAGATCTGAAAACAACCATGACGAGGGGTCCTGTCCTCGGATTGGTAGATGTTACAAAGCCATTTGAAATAGAAACAGACGCTTCCGACTTTGCCCTAGGTGGGGTCCTTATTCAAGAAGGCCACCCCATCGCTTTCGAAAGTCGAAAACTCAATGACGCCGAACGTAGATACACTGTCTCCGAAAAAGAAATGCTGGCAGTAGTCCATTGCCTTCGAGTCTGGAGACAATATCTCTTGGGATCACAGTTCGTAGTGAAGACGGATAACAGCGCCATTTGCCACTTCTTTGATCAACCAAAATTGACGGCAAAACAAGCCCGGTGGCAGGAGTCGTTGGCTGAATTCGACTTCAAGTTCGAACATAAAGCAGGGAAGAGTAATCAAGCAGCCGATGCACTGAGTCGGAAGGGCGAACATGCGGCCCTGTGCATGTTAGCCCATATTCACTCAAGTAAGATCGATGGATCGATGCGCGACATCATCAA